ATATATATATATATATATATATATATATATATATATATATATATATATATATGTATATATATATATATATATATATATATATGTATATATATATATATATATATATATATATATATATATATATATATATATATGTATATATAGGTATATAGGTATATATATATATATATATATATATATATATATATATATATATATATATATATATATATATATACACTGTACATTATTTCTCTGTTCACACATGCATAACCATGAATTACAAAACACCTGATCATGCTCATAATAGCAGAAAACCTGCCATTAAGAACGAAATACACCTGCATATTGTCTTCGAAAGCGAAATCCGTTTCCATTTGTTTGTTGTGGAACGAGACCCTCTATAATTATTTCAAAGTAAGAAACATTTCCGTCGCCGGGGAGACAGCTAGCCAGGGTTTTGAATACTAGGAAGGGAATCCAAATATTACAACCGTAAAATCTACACTTCCTAGAATTCAAGAGGGCGACTGAACCCTCGCCGTACGGCCTTAGCGCTGCCTTGAGGGATCACGAGGTTCGCTTTCGCCGCCAAGCCAAGTGTTAACCGTACGCTGATCCGGACGCCGTAGGACGTCGACCTTGTGAGCCCCCGAGTGATAAGTCATAGTCAAAGTAAAAACACTTTATTACAATAGTTCTTTTTTACACAGATAGTGACATCGTTCAGTAATACAGAGTAAGTAGAAACAATAGTAAATATATTGGTAAGGGAGATATAAAATAAAATAAAATAAGATAGTCACATCATTAGAAATAGAGGTACTTGAATTGGCTTTGCATTCAAATGCCTGATGTCACTAACAGTTTGAAAGATGCTCCTTTAATTTCGTTTTGAAAGTAATCAGGTTTGAAATGTTTCTCATATTTTGTGGTAGGTTGTTCCAGATCTCGAGTCCCCGCATATGTATTTGCCTTGACCCTGTTTCCGTGTATGACCTCTTGACAAGCAGAGAGTTAATCTGGCTGTCTGAATGCCTGTTTTATTGCCAATTGTTTGTAGAGGCATTAACCAATGAGGATAGTCGCCCTTTGTGAATTTATGAATGAGTATACATGTATCAAATTGGCCTTTTTGTTGAACTTTTAACCATTTTAATTTTTCAAATGGAGGGTTATGTGGTCGTGTTTATTTGCGTTGCCTATTACCAGTTTTGTAGTTTTTATGCTTTTTGTATTTAAGTTTTCTTAGTTGAGCCCCATATGTTGGAACAGGAGTTTATAATGCTGAGTGCAAGGGTTGTACAACCATAATTGATTAATTCTATTTTTATGTGATCTAGGTATATCCCTTACTTTTTTGTAGGTGTTGTCCATGTGTGCTTCGAAAGTCATGTATCTGTTTATATGTACTCCTAGATTTTACACGGAAATGCTTGGTTTAATATGAGAGTCTTCAAATTCTATGATTGTGTTTGAGGGATTTTGCCGACTGCCAATAAAGATGCATTGATTTTTATCTGAATTTATTTTGAGGCCGTTGTTGTCAAAATACATTTTTGCTTCGATAAGAGTCTGTTGAGTATTTCTTATCAATTCATATACATTGCTTACAGGGTCAGCATGAAGAAATTGAGAGTCATCGGCATATTGGACAAGGAGACAGTTGTTTGCAATGGTTGATAGGTCGTTAATGAATATAGTGAACAAGATCGGGCCTAATATGGAGTCTTGTGGAACACCGAAAGAGACTGCTTTCTTAGTTGACGAATGTTATTACGAATTTTGACTGACTGCGTTCTGAATTTCTGAACCAATAGTCGATTCCATTTTTCATTTTGTTAAGCAAGATTTCATGGCTGACACTGTCAAATGCTTTTGACAGATCACACAATGTGAGTTGATTTATTTGATTCCTATCTATGTTATCATATATTTGGTTTGTGATTTTTAATAAGGCTGTTTCAGTTTCTAAACCCATGCTGCTGCCGGATTCTAAGAATGTTGATAGTTGATTTGCAACATTTTTTTTCTAGCACTTTAGATATCACTGGGAGTAGAGTTATAGGGCGATAAATGTTCATTTGGTCTGTATTTCCTGATTTGAAAATGGGTGTTATGATGCCATGTTTCCAAAGTGATGGGTAGGTACCTGTGACTATAGATATGTTTATAATGACAGTTAGATAACATGCAATTTCGGGAATGCTTTATTTGATGAATCAAAAAGCAATGTTAGCCATTCCCAGTGCATTCATTTCACGTAAGTGTTTTATTGTTAAGATTGTTGTTTCCAATCTATTGGCTGTGGTCTGAAAGCATTTGTCGATAGCCTTGTCCTGGTTATTTGAAGGGAAGCAAGGAAGCAGCTCTCTGTTCATATGTGAGTCTACCAATATTTGTTAAGTAGACGTTTAGATGTTCTATACTACTTAAAGAATGTAAAGACGTGTCTGTTTTTTTTTTGTGCTAACGTTTTAGCTGTTTTCCATGTATCTTTGGCGTCATGTTTACAGTCAATGAACTTTTTTTTTTGTTTAATTGGATTAATATTTTAACATTTCTCTTTTTTGTTTATACTCAGAATGAAGGGTGGTGTCTGTTCTATTTGTTTTGAGAAATTTGTGAGTGTTGTTTCGGTCATGTATAGCTCTTCTGATGTCCTTATTTATCCATTGGGCGGGGGACGTCTAACAATGTTGGCCTTAAGAGGGGCAGTGACATCTATAATATCCTTAGTACGTTCAAGAGAATGTCTATTCTCTGTTAACCCATTGCCGGGGAAAATGAACAAAAAATGGGGGAAATGCAGTACTCATTTTTTATATTTTTGTGAAATATCTCTGTCCATAGATGGCTCTGCTAGTCCTGATTTCACCTTTCCTTGAATTGGCGGGAAAAACGTATATTTACTAGTGCTATAAATATATATGGTGTTATTTTTAACAGCAAATTAGGATAACGTTAAATATTTTCGTAAATCAATGAAAAGGGTGAACGGGCGAGACAGGCAGCACTCGTAATTGGCTCATTGGATACTTAGTACAAGTGTAGCCATCTATGTGTAAAAACAATCGAACAAGTCGACTCACAGTGGGCATGGCATGTACGTACATGCCATCCCCGGCGGCAATGGGTTAAGGTCATCTGTTGTAAGAATCTCTGAGAAATACTAATATTTTGACAAAGTGATTGGGGGGTCGTAATTTGTCAGGTCACGGAAAGTTTTTATGAGTTTGTCGCTTGGGCCTCTTTATATCTACTGTCACAGTTAATAGTTCGTGATCTGCAATTTGAAAAGAGATAATGTATAGTGAATGAGACCAGATCTGTCTGATATCATGGTGTCTAGCACGGATGAGGTGTTTTCTATGATCCTGGTAGGTTTATTGATACGCTTTTGATTTGTTTTTCTTAATGATCCCAACTAACTTTGCATTTGATTTGTTCAGGTCATCGTTTAAATCACCCAAGGTTTTCTTTTCATTGACATTTTTCTAAAAACATCTTCGAGGTAGTCATATGATTCAGCTGTAGTATGAGGGTGTCTACAGATATATACTATATCTAAATGTCCTCTACAGCTGTATTACAGCTGTAGTAGAGATTTCATTTGATTTAAGGGTGTTCCTTGCGTATATGCATACTCCTCCAGCTCGCCCAGCATCACATCTATAAACAATGAAATTTTGAATGTTAATGAAATTACTTGACATTTCTTCATGAAGCCATATTTCACCAATGCAAGGGATGTCGATATTTATCTCCGTGATTATCACTCAATTTCTTCAAAAGTGACCAAGGAGAGATTCCGCATTGATATGTTCTATTTTGACTGTATAGCATGATGTGACCTTTGGTCTTGCTGACTGTGTAACGGCGACAAACAAGCTGTTCGTTTTTGTCCTTGGTTTTGTTCAAAAACTTTTCAACTTTTTTTGGGAAAACATTTGAATTTGTGAAGAGTTCTGGGTGTATGTCTTTGCTTCTAATTGTTACTGTGAAACTTGAATAAAATTGTTGTATCATGTTTGTCTTCTATGCTTTTGCATTTGATACATTTTCAAACTCTTGGGCAAGAAAGTCTTCTATGCCTTCTTCCTCTGCGTCAGGGTGACTTGTGATGCATAAGTATACTACCTGGGGACGCTCTGCTCCTCGTAGTGGTTGGGATGTTTGGCGCTCCGTTCGTGCTCTTTTTCTTTCCTTTCTGGAGTTGAAACTTTCCTCGTCTTGCTCGTTTGTCTGTTGCGCTTCCGGTCGTTCTGTTGACAACGACCGTGAGCCCTTGTGGTGGTGGTAGTAGGGGGAGGCGGCCTCCAGTCACTTGAGCATTAATCGTAAGAGTAAGTATTCCAAAACGCTTGGAGAATGTCCCTTAAATACTAAAAATCCTCACTTATGTTCTAGCCCCCCCCCCACGGGCCACACACCCTAACTCCGACGCTAATTACCCCCTCCCCCCACACACACACCACCACCACAAAGTCTAACAAGTAATTTATTATCACAGGATATACAGTCAACAAGCTCGTGAACAAGCTCGCCCTCGCCGCCATTTACGCCGGAAAACCTGAAGATTATTCAGTATTTTTCTGATTTTAGTCTTTTTCCACCTGTCCTTTGTTCTTTTTGTATTGTTATCATTACTATGACTATTGTTGTTATTATTATTATTATTATTATTATAGTTATTATTGTATTTGCTGTTGCCGTTTGTTACTATTGATATTATCAGTATCCTTATCATCATCATTATGATTTTTAATAACATTTGTATTATCATCGCCGGCATTATCATTGCTGTTGATGATATTATTGCTATCATTATTAACATTATCATTATTGTTTTTGTTATCACATCACTGTCATTTTTTATTATCATTATCATCTCATCACCATTACCAATATGGTTATTATTCTCCTTATCACTTTTATAATTATTGTTGGTACCATTGGTAGTACTAAAGGTATATGATTTATAGAAACGGCAGAAAATAAGGACAAACAAAATAATAAAG